TATGACCATTAACACAGGAGCCAATGTTACCATCATTCAGAAAGATTTAGCTCAACAATTTAAATATAAATAAGGACACCATCTTGCGTTACCCTTCAGATTGTGTCTGATGAGGACAGGAAATTAAACGAAAACACCACATTTGCAAGTGCCGCCTACCATCACACGACATATGTGGCTTATATTACAGATCCTTGCATACTCAGATTGGTCTTTCTAAGGAAATGCACTTTTTCCTTGGACTTCAAAAATAACAAACTGCGTGCAGCATCTGAGGACATAACTATCCATCATTAGAAGAGATACTCACATGGAAACGCAAACGCCTTTTCTGGAAGATTATGCTCAGAGAGCTGCCTATATCATACTCGGATCCAGGAGAAACACGAGCTGCTGAGTCTGGTCGCTAGACAAATTTTAATTTCAGCTGATCGAGACCCACTGAGTGACAAAGAAGTCAAGAAAGACCAGCTGGAAGATTGCGGCAATAACCTCATAATTGTTCTAATGGAGTCTTCAAATGCAAAACCTACCTGGCAGGACATTTCGATCTATGACAGAACAATATTGGACTCTCTGGTGACTCACTCCATTTTCGAAACGGCGTATTCTACCGCAAATTCGAATCGGATGATGGAAAGATTTTTGGTGGGAGCTGATACTCACAAGATCTCGGAAATCTCTTTTTCTTGTTGCTGTCGCAACAAGAAAAAGATCGCAAGACAGCAAAAGTCCTTTTTATAGGAAACTTTTCCATTTCGTTAGAAACTGATATGACCCGACCGGTTCGACCAGCATTCAGCGGTTTTAAACCCGAGCGGTTAAAACTGCTAAATGCTGGCATTTTGAACCGGATTCGATCCTAGGCAAACGGCTAGCTGCGGTTTGCCTAGGATGAATCGTTTTAGTGAGGTTTTTTCATGTAGAACGGGAATATAAGCCAATTTTCCTCATAAAAACCTCCATGAAGACATCCACGCTCTTCCGCATATATTCGTAGCGCGCTTTATCATATTCAGATAACTTAACTAAAGTGATAAATTTTAAATAAATTCGAAAAGAAAGGAAAACAAAGTTTGTAATTCACATACTATGAAATACTGGCTCTGAAAATGTTATAAAATGATAGATCAATATATTTCAATTAACAATGATAAAGCCCGTCTTCTTCGGGAGCAAAATTCTATATAAGGAAGAATGTAGAATATATAATTCTATATAAGGAAGAATGTAGAAGAAGTGGTAAAGTGATAATTTTGAAATAAATTTGAAAATACTTGTTATGTTGAATTACTCTTCCGTCATAAAAGACAGATAAATAAAATCAATTTATAGATCAAATGTGTAAAGTTTTTATTCATAGTGTTATAGCAGTAACTATTAATGTAATTACACAAAATAAATAACTAGTGAAAATAAATAAATAGTTGAAAGAAAATGTAATTACAGAAAATAAATAACTAGTAGAAGTAACTTTTTTTCTAAAAATTAAACGTGTAAAAAAGAGTATTGCTCTTAATTTTAAAAACAATGTATTTAAGCAAAAGCAGTTAGTGCTTAAAATAGGAAAGCTCCTCAAATGCAGAACTGACAGTTCCCTTTAACACGGCTTACAGGGAATGCAGTAGAAATTTACACACATAAAAATATTAGTATAACAACATCTTAATGAAAAAAGAAATAAATATACTAGTAAGTGGATCGAAAAATAATGAAAAGAATTTCTATTTAAGAATTAGATATATTTAGCAGTTAAACATATTGTTGCGTTCGTACGGGTTCGTTACGAAATGAATGCACAAGTCCGATGAAAAATGAACAAAAATTTATTATTATCACAACAAAAATGCTTAAACCTTCTCAAATTATCATGCAGTATTACAATATCTCACGGTAGTAATCTTTTAACTACTCAAATGTCCAATAGAACGTAATTCCAAACAGCTAAAGAAAGCTAATCCGCGAATTCGCTACAATCAACAAGAGCAGTTTTCTAAACAACAACAAACTAAGCAACTACTACAAACTGAGATGTTTTCCTCCTTTTATAAGATTTTAAAATCACGCGCTAGAATTTTCCAGCACTTTCTCGAAATCAAAAAAAGATATTTATTTATTTAACGCACGCGCTCTTGTATTTTTAATTTTTCCGGCTTAGCTTTCTTTTAATATCCGTCACGCGCTGCACTGCGCGAGAAATAAAACCATTTAATTTATAATTGAACTAACATTAGCTTTTTAAATACCAAATTCGTAACAATATTTTTAGCTGAATCTTTCTGAACTTTACGGAATATTTCTTTACATAACGTTAACATTATGGTATCATATCGTTTATTATCACAGCAGTTTGGTAGGTGTTTGCACGAAGGGAAATAATATAGTTTATCTTCTCATAATATCTATACCTAAGGTACTTTAATTTATATTCTCCCTTTAATTTATATTCTTTAATTTATCCCTCACTTAGTTTTTAGAATGTTGCTATTTGACATCATACATAACTAATAAAATAACTAAAATAATACAAAATCAAGATTTATTTTATTTTGTTCAGATTTTATATTACGCCCATACGGGCGTTTTTTGCATTTATAAACACATACACGTTCTAAGAGTATTTGGGCTAACGCCACCTTGGGCTAAAATATTTAACAGTATATCTTTAGAATGTCCGATAGCTGGAGATAAAAATGTTTTATTCCCTATAGTGTTGCCCCTGATCGATTTGAAAGTGTTGAGCTTTTTAATCACAAATGCGTTAAAGTTTTACAAAATATTAAATAGACATTAAAACAAATTCCAAAATCGGGCTTCCAGGTGCCCATGTTCGGGTGGAAGACTATGTTATTAAAAATTTGATGATCCTAGGAACTGCTAGTTTTTTCACAGTGCGAGAAACATACATACATTTATATAAATTCTTCATTATTTAGTTTCTTTAAATATAATATAGGGCGATCTTATTTGGTGGCAACAATTTGAAAAGTGATTCGATGGAAAATGCCGTTTCGAGACCCTTATGGGCTTCCACCCATTTAGGCTAAGAAGAGAAAGAAAGAAAGAAAAATTTCAAAAAACAAAAAATATTTTTTAAAAATAAAAAATTTGAAAGGATTCAGATTTTAAATAACGTCCAAAGGGGTGCTTTTTAATGTTTTGTATGTTACCTTCATTTATTAAATATCACGTTCTACGTACTCAAAACATAAAATTCAGTTCAACAGCAATATGGCAAAATAATTTTAAAATAAGCATATCTTTAGAATTTTCGATACAGTGTCTCGTGCATTGCAGATAAATTTTTTTTTTTTTTTTTTTTCGTACAGTGTTGTCATTGCTCGCTTTAGGTTTTTAATCAAAAAATCGTTGAAGTGTTACAAAATATGAAATCGATAATAAAACAAATTTCACATTCAAATTAGGACTTCCACATGCCCACATTGTATGGAAGATTACGTTATTCAAATTTTGATGGCTGTAGGTATAGTTCTTTTATCACAATGTGAGAAACATACATGCATTCATGCAGGTTCTCCATTATTTAATTTCTTTAAATATAATACAGGGCGATAATATTTGGTGGCAACAATTTGGAAAGTGATTCGCCGTTTAAAGTTTTCAACGCAAAATGCCAAAACGAAATTACTAGTCCTTCAGGGCAAACTGTCCCTTTGAACTAAAAAGAGGCAAAATATTATTAAAATCCTTTCTTGAAATATGAAATATTTTTTTAATCTTTTAAGGGAGCTTCTACACCTTAAACACTTTATGATCTTCGAATATGTAACTGTTGCAAGAATTGGGATATTTTTTTTAAAGCAATTACTTCCAACTTTTTACAGCTGACTACATAACATAGCTGCTTTGGGAACTACTACCCAAAACGTTTGTGTTGCCACAAATACTTTTGTAATTTAATCCGCTTTGTGACAAAAGGTTTCGTCATGTTTCCACCTTGCGCGCATGACATTTTAAAAATGGCTGATGGTACACACTTGAAATTTGATGGAATTCTTTATATGGGCACTATTTTCTAACTGAAAAATCTGATGAATATTTTAATATTAAAAAAAATTCTGCACGAAAATATTGCAGATTTTTTTAATAAAATACATTTTATAAACTCAACTCCAAATAAAATAAAAATTTAACACGAAATTCTTAGAATTTTTGGTTCGCAGTAGTTTCGAAATGTTATAAAATCTATATATTAAATATGGAATTAAATTATGCAACAGAATGTTTTAAACTGTGCGCGCAAGGTGGAAACTTGACGAAAACACTTTGTCACAAAGCGGATTAAATTATAAAAATATTTATGGCAACACAAACTTTCTGATTACTATTTCAGAAAGCAGCTACATTATGTAAAGAACTGTAGAAAGTTGGAAGTAATTGCTTTTAAAATAAATAAGTTATCCCAATTCTTGCAACAGTCACGTATTCGAAGATCTTATAGGTTTTAAGGTGTATGAGTACCCTTAAAAAGTTATCTAATTTATGTAGCTTAAAATGCGTTTAATTTCAATGCATTCAACTGATAATTTGTAAACATTTCTTACATTTTTGCAATTAATGAAAATATATTTCTCATGCCATGTATTGCATACCTCGGTATAAAGTAATTTAGATTTTCCCTGCACAATTATGTAAAAATTTACATTTAAAACTTCTCCACAGAACCAAATCCAAATCTCTACATAAAATTTTCCTGAAATTCTTAGGCGTAAAGATGGAGTTTAATCGGAATCGCGAGCCGAGAAATCCAGCTCACTTAAACGAAATCTAAATAGAGTGGTAGCGAATGACGATGTATGGTTCATCCCTTGGCTCCTAGATACCTGTAAAACTCCTCCATTCTTATCCCGGCCGGAAACGTTCGCCACTAGATGTCACCCCAGGCGCAAGGTGTACTTCCCCACTTGCGCTTGCCATTCCAGTGGAATCACTGGCCGTGGCTGTCAGAACTTCAGTCGATTCTTTGACCGGAGTCAAGACAAGTCGCTTCGAAAGTTTGGAGTCCCGCGCATTTAACGGAACATCCCGAACAGTTACTGAGTAGATAAAAAAAAAGGAAAACAGAAAAAATAGAAAAATTGGAAATATTGTTCACAAAATCTTTCCTGCGGCGGGTGGCCGCGAATATGAATTTCGATTCAAATTTCATGTTGTGTTTTGAGTGAGTGCAGCTGATCGTATTGTTGCAGAAGTGTTCGTAGTTTGAAGAGTTTTGTCAAGGATTGTGTCGCATCGAGAAACACGTGTTTTTTTAACATCCTGAAGCTTGTACTGGTTCGACACGACGAACATGTTTTTCAACTGGTCTGTCAAGTGTTTCTTGGTTTTACTTCTCTACTTGGAATGCACTAAAGGTAGGGTGGTGCTTCTATTTGAATTTGCGAAATCTGAGGGCTTATTGATCTCATTAAAGCTTCACAGACGGAGAGTTTTTTTCTTTAAATTCTGGCATCTCTTTTTTTATTCAGTAGTAATACCTGAATAGTTTGGCATCAGATACAAGTATTACCGCAAAATGTTAGGTCAATAGTGTGAAATTGGAGATTTTTTTTTCCTTTGTAATTTTAATGCTGCGTAAAATATTTTTTCTAAATTCAAAACACAATAATATATCCGAAGACTTTTATGCCCCGCAAAAAATCTACTGTGGAGATTTATTTTGAAATCTGTCGTTAAATTACAGAATTTTCTCATTAAAGTTTACGTGGGCGCAATGAAAATTAGACAATAGTGAAAACACTTTTAAAATAATATAATAATAATAATAAAGGAAATAGTTCTGAAGATGTAATAAATGCACGCAATAAGTAAGAAATGGGTATATCAAAATGGTCATAAATGTATTATTAAAAGCGACAGAGTAGGGAGTAGAGTGGAAGGATTTCGTATTACAGTTTTAAGCCAGGTAATAAATTTATAAGAATGATAATTGCATTTATATCTAGAAGAAATATTTTAAGCTCATTTACAATACGACAGAATTAATATATCTTTAAATTTGTTTTCGTTATAATAATATTTTCTTTCAACTTATATTTAGAAGTAAGATTTAGAGGTAGAAAATTTCAGCGTCTACAATTATTCATATTAAAATTGTAAACTGGTGTTAATTTGGAAATTTCAATATAATCATAAATATGTATAAGTGGAAACATATTTTATTCGTTTTTTTATTAAATTTTGCTCTGGATATCGTTATTTATTCACATTAATACTCACCGTCTGCTTTTATTGTATCTGGAATTTACTTCTTCATTTCGTGATGTATCGCAGCATTTCTTATTATTTTTACATAGCTACATGCTAGGAAATGTCTATATTGTTTTTTGTAAGTAGCAAGAGGATTAATCCTCGTAAAATAGAATACCTTAACTGAAAGCTTAAATTATTTTTTTCGACATATTCAACGGGTATAATAGATTTTTTTTAAGATAGCGGAACATTAAGTGCTGGCAGCTCATGAGACGTAAAGAAAATAATTAGCATATCAGAAATATTAGAAAGAGTCAATTCGTTTAATATAATTTTGATTTTTGCTTTTGCAATTAGTTATCTTTTCCGTGTTTCATCATATATGGATCATTTCTTTCATATCTTGTTCAACTAATTATAATTTTACAGTATGCTGTTGAACTCTTACGATCAGAAATTTTGCATTTCAGATCACAGTTTGCTGAACTAAAATTTGAATATTTTCTATTTAGTTTATAAGGTATTCTTTCCGCCTTCGTAGCGTAGTGGTCTGCACGCTCAGCGCGCAATTCAGAGGTACGCGGTTCGATTCCCGGAGAAGGCGTTACATATTTTTCATCTCTCCTCCTTCCGAAATAAACCTAATGACTCTACCGTAGCGCCCGAACAGGGACACTTATGAGTTGAACTAAACTAACGAAATATTTTAATTACTTAGTGTAGTTAGTTAATTTTAGACAGTCAGACGAACCAAATATCAGTTAACTTGAAATTCCTAACGCAGAAAGAATTTAATAAACAGAGGAACACTCATTTGAGGAAACAAGATTAAAAAAGGGCTTAGTTTTGTTATTTGATGTTCTTAATTTGTTTTTAACAACCTATATTCTGACTTAAACTTGAACACAAAATTTATTTGAAATTCGAACACAAGTTCATATTAATGATTATTCCGATTTAAATTCTTTGGGGTTATGACTTTTATTAGCTTATTTGACCATGGATCTATCATGGACGTATTGACAAGTGAAAGTAGTAAATTAAAGCTATGCCTATTTAAATTTATTTTTTTTAATTTTTGAAATTTAGAAGTTTGCATCTATGAATTGAAGCCTAAAATATGGCAAAGTTTGCTTTATTTTTAAATTAACGAATATTTTATTTTGATTTTGGAACGAAGGCACTTTTTAATTTTTTTTTTCTTTTTCCAAGTACTATTAATTGTAGACATAGTTTCATTTAGAATGTCCTCCTTCGCAAAGATATCTGCCTCGTAAGTTCCATGAAGTTACTTCTCATGTGCTTACTTCTCATTTAATGGAGATAGTTTCTGTTCTCATGAGGATCAAGTTATGTTTGGTGTGTACGTAAAAGATAACGTAAGCAACAATCTTCTAAATATATATTCCTAATGTTTTTATTGAACTAAGCAATGCATGTAATGATTATATTTTGCGTAAAATCGCTTTATTAATTCCACACTATGTGGGCCCACCAGCGGCCGAGCAGTAAAGTCGCTGAACACTGGTAGTTCGGTCCGAGGTTCGAATCCCGCGAACGGGCTGGCTGCATGGGCGTTTTCGTGGTTTTCCCCCATGTGTCACGTGTATACGAGCCAGTTTCCCTTAGAAAGTCCTCCACGAAGGCATCCCTTCCCTTAGGCAGATAGCCCTAGTGTGCTTTGCCATAATTAAATACACCACCACACCTCCACACTATGTGTTACGTTACTAGCTTTAAAAAATAGGACATGTAATAATAAACAGAAGTTACATCAAGCAATTATCAGTTAATATTTACTTCAACTTAACTTTAGCAAATAGTTTCGTTGGTAGAATAATACCACGAACAAACGAGAAATTATATGCATAGACAAAATACCATTTGGGAGATATTTTCATAATGTTTTCAAAATATTCATGTGCATAGGATCTGAAATAATCCTATATATATGAATATTTTCATAAGAGGCTTCTCGTGCGAGTCAATAAAGTTGCAGAAAACAATTTTCATCTGCAACAGAAATTTAGACGGCATTACCAATAAATGCATAGAATATCCATTCATTGCACGCTATTAGAAGAAAGTCCGAAAGCAAATATATACCCATAAATGCATAGTGTATTTTATTTATTGTATGTTATTAGAAGCAAGCCCGAATGTGAATACTTATGAGGAACACCAACATCAATAATAATCACAACATATTTTTTCCCCTTAACATTGTCCCTTATCGCAAAAGGCAAACTCACGGAATGCATTCTGCACACAGTCCGACATTGTCTAATCAATATTTAGACTTGCCAAAACGTTTCATTACACTTTCTCAAATCCAAATCAGAACTATAACTTGGAATGTGACTCTATAAAACAGCAAGTATTACTGACAAATAACCGAAAACGTATTTTGGTTATTTGCAATTCTATTCCACTCTAGTTAAAAGCATTTAATTCCAAAATGCATGTGTTATATAATTTAAAACAACTTAAAGATTATTGTTTAATGACTACTGCTTCTATTATAGTTTATTTTTATTTAAATTTATGAAATTGAAATTAAATATATGTATAAATTAATTTATCAGATACTTTCTTAGTACCAGATAAATTATTTCATACGTAACTTATAAAACCTTTTGGGTCAATTCATAAGTAAGCATTGTTTTAAGAAATACAATATACAGGGCGTTCATAATGTCTGAAAATCTTACCTTCAGAAGTGAATTATTTGTAAAAAAGATACAAACCCGAATATTTTTTATTTGTTTGTTCATGTAATAGTTTAGAATTTGTATTAGGCATTAAAACCATGACAGTATTATTTCATAAGGACTGTGGCCATCTAGTACTTTTTGTTAGGGATTTGTCATCGAAAGTGCTTGAGTATACGGATGCTTGCAAAACTGAGACAGATTTAACGTTACGTTCTATTAACGTTAATGTAACGTCTGTTAACCATTATGTCTAACGTAACGCTTAAATAACTTTTTTTCTGTGCTTGGGTAGGCAATAATGCGTGAACATTAGACCATTTTTTGAGTTACACTTTAAATATATCCTCCTCAAAACTATAATCGAAATCTTTTGGTTGGCATTTAATTTTCTGAAAACAGATTTTTCTCAACTTTAGATTTTAAAAGCAAGTTGAGAGACTTACTGGAAATAATTCAGATGGGGATAAAGTCCTGTCCACTCTTTTCTTTATCCGAGTGATTGCAGTCATTTCCAAAGGATGCGATATTTCCAAAGGATGCGATGCTTATCGAACATTCTAGCCTATCTATTGAATATGAAAAATTATTTGGTTTCGAAGCATTATTGAAATAAATTAACTTCTTTCTAATGTTAATTTTTCCTTTATACATCATGTGTAAATAAGTGTTGCATGCAAATTCTACGCAGATATAACATTTTAAAAACAGCTAATTATTGCAAAAAGTCGCTTGTAAATTTTTATATAATTGTTAAAATTTATGCATTATCTACACATTTTGCCTTTAAGATGTTTAAAAAAATCAGTTTTGCTTTTACCAGACTGTTTAAAAATTCTCAAATGTTTCTTCCTCCGTGATATTTCCATCAAAGTTTTTGAAGCTATTAATTTTAGAATTGTAGTTATGATTCTCATGTACGTATAATGTATAATACGCAGCAAATGAAATATCAGTAGCAAGTATTTATTACAAATTATTACTTATTTTACTTACTATATACGAACGTGATATCGCTACAACTGATCTTTAATTATAGCAGTTATTATGGAAAGATTCATTTGTTGAAGTAAGGGTAAATTTGACTTTAACTTATACGGCATATATACGCCATCCTTAAAAATATTAACCACAATTAATAAATCTTTTTCTGTTTATGTAATTGATTGTATGTGTTCCCTGTGATACATCGGACTTTTCTGAAAATCCTTTCCTGAAAAGAAGGGAAAAATGTGCATATAAATGACAAAGCTGTTCTTCATTCAGGCGCATATTATTTATTAATTTCAATATTATTTTTCTTCATTAATACTTCAATAATTTTACAAACTTAGCAAGGTTTCCTTTCACACATAAAAATTTGCATTGCCTTTGCATGCCGAATATTTTTCATCCTTAAAGAAGGAGACCTGTAAGCGTTCTCTCTTCGAAACTTACAAATGTTTCCAAAG